CCGTTACTCGTTCTAACGTGTTTTAAATAGTTGTTTACAACTGTTTAAACATGTTTTAAATTCTGTTTTAAACATATTTGGTGTGTAGGTGTTTTTTTTTAATATTTTTTTTTAAATTTTTTTTAAATCAAAAATTAACCTAGTCGAACGAAATTTTTACATATTGTCAACAGGGAATAAAAGTGACTGATGTGAAATTATACAGGGTCCGGCAATAGTTCGTCGGGTATCTGTAGCTCCTAGAATAAAAAACTTGTTCAAGTGCAAACCTAAAATATGTACCAGGATGTATTTCAGGAAAATATTTTAACTTCTATATGGTGGCTCAAAAAGGGTGATTGAATCGGGATGATTTTTTTTAATAGAACACCCTGTATATTATTGCATTTTTGGCCTCAATAAAAAAATATATATTTTTCAACCTTTCTTAAAAAAAAATATTACAAATATGTACAAGAATTGTCCTCAAATCAAAACTATATTAGGTATTTACTTTAGATGGTCTATACATACTTTGTTATAAATATCGTAATCTTAGATCATACAGGGTGTTCAAAATTCTAAACCAAACTTTCTAAAATAATTTTTCTTTGTCTATTTAAATGGACCACCCTGTATATCATTATTTTATTAGATGGAGAGTTAAAAAATGTACATTTTTTGTATTTAAAGTATTTCAAAATTTTTAATGGTTTCGCAGATATACGAAGTATTATTTCATATGGCGCTTTCAATGGTAAAATACGAGAGAAAAATCATTTTGGGTGGCTTTAATAAAAATTTACTGTGGAAAATACCATATGTAATATAAAACCGCGAATATCTGCGAAACCGTTAAAAATTTTGAAATACTCTAAATACAAGAAATTTTTCTCCATCTATTGAAAAAAATAATATACAAATTTTCTGCCTAAATAAAAAAAATACTAAAGCATTACATTTAATACAATTATTATAAAAAATGTACCGTAACTGACCTTATGTAACATTTTTCAGGATGTTTAAGGAAATCTGGAGGATGTGGCAACGGGACTTTCGAGCGTGATGCCAATATGGAGTTGAAAGTTAGAAAATAATATTGTAGTTGCGCAGCGCTTGTAAAATCAATATCAGAGGACTTCGGAAGTGTATATCGTTCTTATTCATATCTCGAAAGTACTTTGTAATGACTTTTTGAGTGCGCAATCGAAGAATATTAATCCTTTAATAGATTTTCTGCCTTTAGCTCACTTTAAATTGTTTGTAGTTGGAGTTTTTGGGGAGTTGATTGGGTCAAAATATGTCTTATAAAGTTCTTTGCAAGAAAAAACTTAAATTTAACTACGAAAACTCCAGAAAACCTGTAAACACCTGTAAAATATATCCAACTTATTTTGAAGTTCATTTTAAATCAATATTTATTCTACAGTATGTTTGAAAATTATTTCTAAAGAACCGCTTGTTTTTTTTTACTTTAAAAAAAAATATTTCTCCTTAACTATAATATATATAAAAAAGCTTATAAAAAACAAAAATTGTGGTAAGAAGTTTTGAAAAATTATATACCTACAGGGTGATTCACGGATCCAAGAAAAAGCTTCATATCAAGTTTATTATTTAAAATATTAATTATACCGGGTGCGTCGCAAAAGTGGCTCACCCCTATAACTTTTTTATTTTTTCAGATAAAAAAACGAGATTTTGTATATTAGTATATGACATAAATTAGGATTGATTGACGCATTCAATTGTTTTTGGTCACTTCCTGTTTCACCGGAAATAGCTACAACTTTTCATTTTTAAATAGCATCCTCGGTATATTTCTACTTTATTCGATAGAAAATGACGCTCTGAGTAGAATGACATATCATATGTCAACTTTTGACATTTTCGCTTAAAAAATCGTATTTTAAATTTCAATCTAGAGTGCCATGGCTGTGTTAAAAACACTAATTTTTTCATCAAGGAAACTTGGAAAATAGACTTGATCGTCTAATGTTTTTAGTGTCTTGTCCTGGCCGGTTAAAAAGATGCCCAAATCGTATATAATATTTAATTTTTTTCAAATGGAACAAGGGTGGCTCGTTAGCATATTTGGAAAAAGCATTTTTTTACGAATATTTTGGTATCACACACTTGGTATTTCGAGTCAAATTGTCGTTATGAACCGGATGTTACAAAATTTCAAATAAGCCATATCCGAAAATGTTAAGAGTTGACATATGATATGTCATTCTATTCAGAGTGTCATTTTCTATCGAATAAAATAAAAAAATACCGAGGATGCCATTTAAAAATAAAAAAAAAACATACCAAATCTAGTTATCTAAAAAAATAAAAAATTTATAGGGGTGCGCCACTTTTCAGACGCACCCGGTATTTTTTCAAAATTTGCGAGTTAATGCCCACGTTATAAAACTATTTTTTAATACACAGGGTGATTAAAAATTAAAGAGTGTATTTTTTAAATAAAATTCTATATAGGTATTGGATTTCTAGTGGGTTGTTTACCCCCTACCAACCTGTTGAAATACCCAAATTAAAAATACAATAATTTCATAATCCATAACATGAGGTATATATCTATACCTTGAGGGTTTTGAACCCACATTTATTTTTGTAAAGGCAAAAATAAAACACTATTTAACTGAAAATATGCTTTATTTCAATACAACTAAAATACACTAACTTAAAATACAACGAAACGTATAATATTTAAATAAATCATTACATTACTAATAAAGTAAATATTATAATGCACAAAAAAGAAAACATCTAGTTACGCTACATTAGGGTATCAATTTGTAACATGTAGTTCAAAGCGCGAGACATCAAGACAACACCCTGTGCGTAACGTGTTCAGTATATAGTTCATGTAAACCTCGGTTATATCACAACAAAAATCAAAGTAAAGAAAAAAATACGGTTACGTACTAAAAAGAACAACAATAGTCAATTATCTTTATAATAATTATTCTTTTTTTAAATTGAGTATAAAATATGTAGATGATACAATGTATCTACCATAGCTACACGTGTGTTGAGTTCATTCTCTTTGTTTTAAGAAGAATAGTGATATAGTGATAAAAAATCAGACATCCTGTATAGTACAGTCCCTTAAAAAATCTTCTATATCAAAAAAAAATTCAAAGAAAATAGAATATGTTTATTTCGCCTACTCTACCATTCTGTTATATACAGGGTGAAACGAATTTTTTTGAAAATTTAAATTTTCACATAAAGCCATCTACCCCATCTATCTGAATGATTTTCAGCGTTACAGTGTTGTCGCTTCGTATTAAAAGTAGTAGCATCTTTGTTATTTTAAATAGAACACCCGGTATATTATTACATTTTTCAAAACTACTTCCATTTTTCATCATTTTTCTATTGATATATTCTGTACACCTATCTCATAGTTTTTGAGATAAAAAATAAAACGTATAATATACAGGATGTCCCAGAAGTAAGTGCAAGTATTTTAATGGGTGGTAGATCTCGAAAAAAGAAACATATTTTCTCTTTATCGTTTTTCAAATAAGTCCAAAATAACGGAGTTATTTTACTTTGAAAATTTCCAAAAAAATATTTTTTGCTAAAATTTTCAGGACCATTAGGATCCAATGGTTTCTGGATTTTCTTTCTTGTAAATTTAATCTACTGCCTATATTGCCATATTATATCAAGAAATTATGTTTTTTAACTGAGAACTAAAAAAATCCAAAAAATTTTTAAAAAAATTCCGAATTTTCAATTTTTTTTTGCGAAAAAAACCTCATAGGCGTGTTTCTGGGGTTGAACTATATTACATATACTAGTTATAATTTCATCTCAAGAATTTCGTTACCATGACAATTTTAGAAATCTAGCAAGTAAAATTGATACTTACAAAGTTTGAATATTTGTGATAGAAAGGATTTTCTTTAAACTAAACAATTATAATAAAATTATGATCTTTTAAATTGCTTTACTGAACAAACTAGAAGGTTTATGTATAGGAACATAATATATCGTTGAAAAACAATTTTATTGGTTTTCCGAATTTTTAAATAATATACAGGGTGTTTCAAAACAAATGCGAAAAACTTCAGGGGGTGATTCCTTGTTAAAAATAAAGGGTAGTTTGCTTTATAAACGTTGGGTCAAAAGTCAATCATTAGGGAGATATTGCGGTACAAAGATGGCGGAAAAACAATGTTTTTATTTTTTATCTTGAAAACAAAAAGAGATAGACTAATGAAATTTTATGGAAGCATTACTGTTATGAAAACACACTTTCTGGTAATTTTTTCACTTTTTTAAAATGAGTGGAAGGGGTTGAAATAAACTACCCCTATCATTCTTGTTAACGAAATTTAAAGAAAAATCGTATCAAACACATGCAAAAAAGTTAATTTGGATAGTTCAGTTTATTTAGAAACTTTTTTATCTCTTGTGTTTTTTTGATAAAAGTCGCCGATTTAAAATTAAAAATAAAATGTAAAGCATAGAATAGAACATAGATGTGAACTTTAGTTACTTATATGGACTCGTTACTACTAGTTACTTTTGGTAATAGGACTCGTTACTTTAGTTACTTTAGTTACTCGTTACTTTGGTACTTAGTATCGTTACTTTATAATCGTTGTTTTGTGTACAGGTTGGAAGACTTGGACTTGACTTGGAACTTCGTTACTTATTGTTTGTGGCGATCTTCGTTGCGTGCTCGGTTTAACCTATAAGGGGTTTCTACTTTCTCCTAGTGTAAGGGCTTAATAGGATAATTTCAATACTCGGTATTCATAAGTACTGAATAATATGTATAATATTTTTATAATGATATGTTATCACTATGTATTAATAAAATTAAAAATAAAAGAAAACAAATTAAACAAAGAAAATATGTGTATAATATAAAGTATTTTTTTATTTTTTCTCTCTCTCTTTGTATTTTACATTAATAATTATGCAAACAGTAAAAATAAAAAAAATGTATATATTTTTGTTAAAATATAAAAATATATAAAAAATTTATATTCCTCTGTGACGGATTCATCTCTTCAAAAAAGTAAAAAATAACTAAAAATTACTATTTTTATTTTGTAGATTTTCTCGCAGCGTACGTAAGTAGCGAAATATCTATTCTTTTTTGAACAGGAAAAATATTTGCTCTGCTTTTTCAGATGTTAACATTTTTTGTGAATAACGTGAATCCATTTTTAATTAATATCTAAGACATATTAATCTAAATAAACAATTCTATTCTTCGCTCACCGAACAACTATAAATCAAAAAATAAAACACACTCGAAAAAGGTGCGGAATTACCTAAATAAAAACTGACAACAAAGCGCAAAGGGACAAACACCGCGGCCGCGCCGGTTCGTCATGAGCCAATCATAATTGTAATAAAAATATCACACTTTTGCCATCCAAAACACCGGCCGGCGTCAAGTCAACACTTTAAACATAAACATATTGATAACAACTAGACCTACGTCGAAGTAAGGAATATTTCAGCATCGAGTTTCGAGTCCTCGGTTCGTGCATTTCCAGGGATTACGATTACTGCCAGCGCAAAAGTAACGAATCAGCTTAGTAACGAGTAACGAGTCCTAAATTCAAATGGTAAGCGTTACTGCGAGTCCTCGTTAAGTAACTGTTACTTTGTAACGATTACTTAGAATTTTTACATCACTAATATATAGGCTTGAATTTAAAATAACAATGATTTCAGCGATTTTATAACAAACGGAAATAAATATTTTTTCTGATCTCTGACCTGTCTGATATCCAGTTAGTTGATTTAGACAGATCGAATATGTCGACTCTCCTTAACCTATACTATAAACCAAATTTCAGCTTTCAATATGCCGAATTTATAATTTAACCAAAATTTTACACATATTTTATTTTTTATCTCAAAAACTAGTAGAGATAGATATAGGTTAGTACAATAGAAAAATGAGATATCAAAGTAGTTTCCAAAATTGTATATACCGGGTGTTCCATTTAAAATAACAAAGATACTACCAATTTTCAAATGAAGCGACAACACTGTAACGCTGAAAATAATTTAGATATATGAAGCAGGTGCCTTACTGTAAAAATCCAAATTTTAAAAAAGTTCTCCATAAAAATCTAACCTACCATCGCCGTGAATCACCCTATATAAAGACTATCCTAGATGATAACTTTCCTAAATAAAATAATTTATAAAATTCTAGTTCGAAAAATATGTTTCAGAAAATAAATTTCCTTCCATATAAAAAACAATGTTTAATTCTAGTACACCCTGTACTAAATAAACACTTCAAATCGATCACTATTCTTCTTAAAACGCCTTATTTTTCCTTTATACAGAGACCAAAAAATGAGAACTTATGTTTCCAAGTACGTAGAAACCTAGAATTCTCTGTAGTAGTTCAAATATCTCTTCAGGATCAGTGGCAGCGGCAACTCCTGAATTTTGGCCTTCATGTGTTCAGTGAAGGGGCTCTGGTACATTTTCAATTCATTGTCGACCTGTTTCGTATCTTCTTCAGTATCAAATTCACTGCTGTTATCTGGAAAAAACATCAATTATGATCAAGATCATCAAGATGACGTCCCATACCAATCTATTTTTTTTTACTAAAAAAAAGTTTCTAATATTTTTTAAGTTAAATATGGGTGGGTTTAAGTTTAAATATAAAACCGTCATGCGTTGTTTTAAACCAGTTTTATTGGTTTATTTCAAAAATGACAGATCATATTTTAATTTTATTGGTCGACGGAACGATGAACGACAAACGGACGCCGATGCGTATGCACTCGCCTTTAGATTTTTGAGGCTTGTCAAAGTCTTGCCAAATTATAGGTTATAATTTTGTGTCAACTTATGTCAAATATCTGCGTTTTGGAAGCAACCATGCAACGATGCATTCTGATTCGCGTTATTACGTGTGTTTTGTGTCTTTTGGAGTCAAGTGGAGGAAAAGTAACAGCTTCATAATCTTCAGTAAATTTTGAATATTTTTTGTTAGAGCCATTTTCCCCTATCTACCAAAATAAAGTGGTGGGGGAAGGTTAGATCTAGATTAGATCTAGTTAGAGTGTTGTTTTAATTGTAAAATGTGAACGTGTATTTTTTTGGATTAATTTTAATTGTATTTGTCTGATGATGCTCGTATATGAGCGAAACACGTGTAACAGTTTAACACTGTATAAACGTTGAGACCGAGACTTTGAGTCTTTTTTCTACTTTTTTAACTAACTCTGGAATGGATGATCGGAATCCAACAAGCGAGGGCTCGTTTAACGGATTCAAGCGAGGGCTCGTTTAGCGCGTTTCACTCTATATTGTACCATATAAACAATAATAAGCAGAACGTAGACGCTGTTCACAATTTAACAAACATGCGCGTTTCAAAAAAATTAAATGCAATAGTATAGTACTTTTTAGCGATAGTAAAAAGTAGCAAAAGCAGGGTGGCGAGTCCGTTTTTCAAACCGAAGATATTAAAATTATAATAAAACCAAGATAAGCTCTTACCCTATTTTACAACACATTACAGTAGCTCTGCCTGATTTCTGGCCCTGTCTACCCTAGAAATAAGTTATTTTAAAATGACGATATTTTCAAAATACGAATAATATCAGATGTATTAATATTTAATAATTAAGATACTACTACAGTGAATAAGAAACGATTCAGTGAAGTCATGGTAAGCTTTGGAAAGTTGTTTTTTGACGTGTAGTAGTATAAACGTCAAATTGTCATTAGATCAACATTTTGATAGTCTTAGCAGTTTTTATCTTTTTAATTGCTTTACAAAATGCCAACAACTTCAACTACTTCAAATAATAAAGGCATTTTGAAAAAGCATTTAAAAGATAAAACAAAACGCTTCTAAGACTATCAAAATGTTGATCTAATAACAATTTGACGTTTACCTATACTATACGCGAAAAAGCAACTGTTTTTCCAAAGCCTACCTTTGACTTCACTGAATCATCGTTTCTTGTCTACAATTATTAATATCTTAATTATTAGATATTAATACATCTGTATTATGGTATTCGGTATTTCGTCGATTTTAAAATAAACTAACTGTTTCTATCTCTATTTTTGTTAGAATGGACCTAATCAAGAGGGCTACTGATACTGTATTGTAAAAAATAAGGTAATTAAGGGCTTATTTTTGGTATTTATTATAATTTTGCTAATATCTTCGGTTTGAAAAGAAGATATCAAGATGGTTTTCGCTGACCTTTTAAGCTTTTACTACTCTTTACTATCAGCTAACACATACATACTATTTTATTTTTTTTTTGAAAAACGCGCTATGTTTGTTAAATTGCAAGAAAGCGCCTCTAGCGTCTACAAGTTCAAAACCATTATTATTATTATTTTTATAGAATAATATAGAGTAAGAAACGCTCTTTAAACGAGCCCTCGCTTATTGGATTCTGATCATCCAGTCCGGAGTTATTAACATTTAAATAAAGATAGATCTAACCTTCCCCCACCACTTTATTTTAGCAGATAGGGGGAAATGGTTCTAACAAAAAAAATCCAAAATTTACTGAAGATTATGAAGCTATTATTTATAGTACCCATTATGTAGGCAAAATTCTGTAAAAAATCTATTTTCTTATTTTCCATAACAGTTGCGCCACCTAGCGGCCGTTTTATAAACTTGAAAATAATTTCCAGCAATTTCTCATAGCCCCTTTAGTTATAAATATTTTTTCCGTAAGCCCTACGGCTAATACTTTCCGAGATACAGCGGAGAGATTCTTAGTGGGACACCCGGTACATAAGTTATATTGATAAATATAACAATAAATGCGGAAATTTTCTTCAAGCTTGAAAGTAAGAAATAGTTCTTTTTTATATTTTTTTTTTGTATGTGGTGTTTTGTTCTTGTTTGTTTTGTATTAACATATACCGTTTTTTTAATAAAATAACTCAATTACAATTTTTCAGTTTTATACAGGTTTTTTTTCACAATATTTTGAAGTAATCACTTATCACTCAAATTTTAAATGTTCCTGCTATGCGTTCCAGTTGTACCAACTTATTTCTTTGTAAAATAAAATAAACTACTTTGAAATTAAAACGACAGACGCATCTATCACTGTCAAGGATCTTGTCGTTGGATAGACATAGATATAATATATAGTTCACAATAATCACCAAAGCCGCCTTGTCATATTAGAAAATAACTTCAAAATGAAATGTGTGTGATAATTGAAAAAATTGCAAATTGTTGGTGGCAACTTCATTTCGCTCTTAAAAATTAATGAAGGCATGTATTGACATGATCCAAAAAACAAAATGTTCAGGAGACATGGTTGTGACGGTAAAATTATATTTTACGTTACATTTTTTCGTATAACTCTGTACAACTAACCTTGATTATGGCTACGGGACCGGCAATCCATCCTTCTTAACTTGGCCACGCGACGTGTTCCTCTTTTTTGACGTTTCTCCAGACCGGAAGTGGCTTGTTCCTCGTCGCAACTAGAGATGGCGTCCAATTTCATGTTATCACCCTCTTCATCTTCGTCGTCATCGTCTGAAGAATCTCTGGCTTCGATAATTTCGTCACCCAGACCGCTGTCGAATTTTTCTCTTTTTCCGTTGGACTTTGACGGAGCTGCGCTGGTCGATGGTTTGTTAGAGCCCATAGAAAAGCCCTCACTGAAAAGATAATAGTAGTAGAGAATAATACCCTTAAGCCCTTTTGTATGTATAATTTCAGAAAATGGTTAAGTAGAATAGCACTGTGCAAGACTAGGCCATGAATCCAAATTATTACTTGTTAATTACAGTAATTAGTATACAGTAAAAATATATTTGTTCGCTTTAAACATACACATATAATAATAAATGTACTGAATCAATCTGTATAATTAAATTAATAGAGACCTTTGGCTGTTTCATGTTCATTTTCAGTGCAGTTTATTGAGAAAACGCATATTAAGTAAAATAATATCTACTCTTTTAAACTAGGTTGATTTGTACTAAAAAGTTAAATAATGCATTTTTTACCGTATTTATGAAAATAAGTATACTAAGGGCTGGCAAAGGTTAGTCTTGGGTCGATTTCCGTATGTAAGAAGAGTACAATGCATTTATAATGTACTGAACAAAGAGAGAACAGTAAACACGTTGCCAAACGTATGAAATAAACCGAGAAACTATGCACATTGCTCAGAGACGTGGAAGGGGATATAGCAGATTCGTCGCGGTATCAATATATCAATCAGTACCTATGATCAGTACTTTTGGTAAAAATAAGTGGAATTGAGTTGGCGTTCGACAATGGTCGCGCTATTAGAATTCAAAAATCGATCTCGAAATCCATTAGAACAATTGATTGTAATTTTTTTCAAAAACTTCCTTAATATTTCTACTATATTTACTTCGCAGACAATATGTGAAAATCTCTATAAGTAAAAAGTTTTACACTAAAAGTAAATGGATGGTTTTTTTTTTAATTTTTGAACGAAAAAAAAGCTATCAAATTTTTCTTATTTAAACATTTTGTAAGAGATCCGAACTTCAAAATAAAAAAAAGTTTCAATATATAAAGTGGTTCTTGAGTTATCGCGTGTTGTGTTAAAAAGTTGAGTGTTTAAATTATCGCGATTACTGACGTTTTCTCGTTATAAAAAAATGGACACCCTAACGATATCCTTATAATTCCATTTCAGATGCTCAGAAACATATCTAATGATTTGATCTAGTTATCTTTTCGAAAAAAAAGTCTTTAAAAATAAGCGGTTTGAGATCGTGATTTTACTTTACTTGATAGGGAAAGGCGTACCGGAGAAATGTGGCAACGCCGCAACAGCTAACACACTCTCGCATTTCTCTCACTCCGACTTAATAAGATCCCTGTGCGATTTACTTCCACACATGTGAATACCGACCCAAATTAAGAGTTGCCAGCACGGTAGAGTATATTACATTTTTAGAAAACTCATAACAAGGCAAGTAAAATAAAAAATAATATACAGGGTATCCTATTTATAAAAAAACATAAGTTTGACTCATATTTCAAAAATGACAGCTCTCAGCGAAAACTAGTTACTGGGTTCTTTTACTCACTCTTTGTTCTGCATTTCATTTTGACCTCCCTCCACTTCTCTCTGTGCATTCTCCTCGTTCTCGTTCTCCTGGTTATCCTGACTGGCCATTTCCTCCACCAGATCATCCCTTTGCCGTTCCAGACTTGCCCTCTCCCTTCTGAGCACTTCGAGACATTCCACAAGCACGTCACTGATGTCATTTATAGTGTCCAGAGACTGTTCCCCCTCTGGACGACTCTGGTTGGCTTCGTTGGGGTTTTGTGGATCGGGGTGGTGTTCAATGACGGCTCTGACCTCTTGAGAAGTCGGCGCCTCAGCAGTGCTGTTTTCAAAATTTTATTAAACAACTATGGACAGTAGCACACTGGAGAAACAGGCCTATTGACAACATTTGATCTTTAGAACGTTTGAATAAAAAAAATAAGGAAGGAGTATAATGCTATCCTTGTATTCATGCAAGGTAGATGCCGGACAAAGGGCCCTAGGGTGGGGATCCTTGACAGTTCTGTTTGTCGATTCATTTGACATAGAATTTGATTTGAAATTTTGTGGATTTGTCAGTCTTTACTGAGCTTATTTTATCTTCTTTATTATTTATTCTTCTACTGATAGTTGTTTAAAGATAGTAAATCTAGAAGGAAATTGTGGCAAAACTTAAATTATCAGTGGCACTATTGCGATTTATCGAAAAAGACAGTAAAATAGTTGGTTGTGTAGAGTGCGGTAGATCTCGGTCAAAAATCGAGATAAATAATGGAGTAACTTTTCGCTAATAGGTGACTATACAGGTTGTTAACTCGACAGTTACTTATAGGGGAACAGAATGGCAACACTGCCTATTGAGAACGCATGCATTATTGATTATTCTGCCGACTCGTCCCGTCGCGTCGTCTATCGACGAGCGGGCCGAGGTTGCCATATTTTAACCATAAAGCCCTTGCCGCACGTAATGAACAAATTAACAACCTGTATAATATACATACGTGTAGTAAACCGATCATTTACGAAATTCATTTAAAATTAACTAATTATATATTTTTTCTTGCATTTTTGCTTTAATTTACTACACAAAACATCCCCCTTTAGAACTTCATCTGTCATGTTAAGAAATGAAAGTAAATAGTAAAGCGCCTCTCGTGTTTGTTCGCACTCTTAAAATTTCAATTAATGCCTGTACATATATATTTTTAATATATTTTTTAAATTTAAATTTTTTTAATTATAAAGTAATATATTACATTTAAATGGAATATATTACAGTACAATTATGTCAATTACAGGATTACAGGCTTGTTTTCTAACATTTTTTAAATAAAACGAATTCTTAAATCTCAATAAATTATAACTTGTAAATTTTAATATTTAAACATGATTTTAACTATTTCTGACAATAACTAACTTTTTGTTATCAAGATGACATTTTAGACGGCAACTGACATATATGTCATATTTGAATTTTAAAAATGTATGTAATATAATTTAAATTAAAATAATGCAACTTTATACTAAGAAAACATTTATACACTCAGAAAATACAACAAAGTCTAATAATATAGTTTGATGACCGGTGGCACCTCTAGTGTTTGTTCGGGCAGTTGGTCTTTTACTCCCACTTATGGCCATTAAAGAAAAAGTTCTCAAGGGGGATGTTTTGTGATTTACTACTTGTCAAAGATTAGATGTCAAAGAATTTAGATACATCAATTTGACTTACCTGCTTCAGTAGCTTATCGGATGTTTGTGTTAATAAATAATTATTATAACTTATATTTTTATAACAATTTTAATAACTACCAACATTTATTGACGACCTCCTTCCTTATCTTTTTATTCAAAGTTTAGAACCGTACGATGGAAATAAAACGGCCTCAAAGACGTGTTAATTGTTGATCAGTTTTATGTCAATTTTTAGTAAATGATGTCTAGAGACTGACCTCGCTAAAATTATCATCGATTGTCACTCCCCGGCCGTCTTCGACGCCGTTTTTTTTCGATCATACGGTATTTATTTATCTCTTTAAATTTCCCTGCATATAAATTTTCTTTCTTTCACAACCTTGATTTTGCCTAGGCCTAGCGAAAATTCCTTAGAACTGGCAACTATGTAAAAAGTATAATAACGAGAACTCTGTTACAAAAATAAATATTTACCGTTTTAATTAGACCGTTACCAAGTAAATAAATAACTTATTTATAGATTAAAATACTTTGGATATACACAAAGGAAACCATCAATTATAAATTACTTGGCTAAACAATGGGTTGTGATAAGCACTGTTTTTTGCTAGCACGATAAATGCTGATAAATTACATACGATCAATAAAAAAACGGCGTACAGTCACCTTTGAAAAGACATTCGATGATAATTTCTGTCTTTTAATTGTGTTCATTTAAATTTTTGTTGTGGCATGCAAATTTAAATATCTTTTAATATCTTAAATACTAAAGATTTTAAACATATTTAACCCTTATAATAACTGCCTTTTTTTGGGCCCAAGAATCCAAAAATGAAATAAAATACTGGGTGTTCCATAAGAAAAAATATAACTTTGGTATGGATCTTAGTTCTGAAACATCCTGTATATTTCAAAATAATTTTAAATTGTGCACATTGTCTCCCCACATATACCCATAAAATATTTTGTTTCTACATCTTTCCGTTTTCGTATAATCAACCGAGGCGAATGAGGTGCGCCACCCTGTATGTTTATAAAAAAAATCTTTAAAAACCTACCTATGATTTGAGCTTTCTTCAGCTATATTACTATCAACCTCCATAGATTCTTGGTTAGTTCGAGACTCTCTATTTCTTCTGCTTGAACTTGAAGAACTTTCTCTATCTCCACCTCATAAGTAATTGAATATACAAAAATTTATAACAAACAAATAAAAATAATTACAGCTGGTTCCAAAAAAATGAATACGACTCTTTACACATTTTTTTCGAATATTTGGGCAGTGTATATTTATGTGTCAAGTATTTTGACATGTTAAGGTTATTGTGACATTGTAAAAAACAACTTTGCTTTTGACAAAGTGGCAAATAAATTTTTCAGAACGTCAGCATGACATGAGTAGAGAAATGGGGGACTGGTATCATAGAATATACTGCCCAAAATAATAAAAATATGTTTTAAATCGTATTCAATTTTATTGGAACCAGCTGTACTTTAGGAAGTAACTATTATAAAATATGAAAGCCTTACTTGATCTCCTACCCCCCATTCCTAAAAAGAAACTAAATATTCCGCCATCGTCGCTTCTAAAACTTGCACGACCTGCATTATGATTTCTGTCACCCCCTACAAAAATCAATAAACGATAAATTTTATAGATATGGGAAAATCAATAAAAAACTCATTAAAATTAATAATAACCACCTATCAGAAGATCACCCTTTTGATTTTTAGACACCATATATTTTCATGTTTTTTGCAATTTTCTCTAAAACGGTATAGAAATTTGGAAAATATAAACGGGATTAACCATTTTAGAACAAGCAAAAATTTTTATGAAGAATGCATCTTTCTCAAAATGTCGATAATAAAAAAAAGTTTGGCCTCTTGTAAAGACAATCTGGGGACATACTGTATATTAGGCTATACCCAGTAGGTAAATTCCAATTTTTTTATTGAAATTTAAAATTTCTTCTTCATTTTGGAGACCGCAATTTATTAATTTTATTTTAATTTTATTAGTAATATTGTTATTAATAAAAATGTGTTTATCTCATCAAGGAGGCCGAATTCGACAAAATATCAAGAGATAATTTTAATTGGCATTAAATGGCCTACACAATTTTGATATCAAAAGAAAAAAGTCAGTGGCGCACATGTTTTATTTTTTTTTAAATATTCCAGTGATAACCCATATGCACGTCCCTGATATATTTATCGACACTTTTTTAGCATTAAAATATGTAGCACTTATAGTAACTTTTACCCCCAAAATTTCATTCAAATCACTAAAAGCACTTGGAAGAAAACTATAATAAAAAAATTAAAATTTTCACCCCTTGTAGGTACGAAACAAAGCAGAATCGGACCTATGTTGATATGAAAAATAAATCTTATTTTTACGTGAGGAATCTCCCCGCGTGTTTTTTAAAACACCCTGTATATCCAAATCATATCAATAATTACAATAATTACCAATTCTAACATGTCTGTCCTCATCTGAACTCTCATCATCATCAAACAATGGCACGACAAGCCTCTTCAACACTCTTTTTCTTTTGGGCTCTTTGGATGGAGCTCTGAACTTCACCCTCTTTGCTGGGGGATGGTCAATTTCTATATTTCTCCTCAGTATATTTCGTACCACTGCTCTACATAACACTTGCAGAGACAGTGGTTCAATTTCAACTAAACCAAAGAAAAAAAAATGGTAAAAAAATGTCTAAGAACAATTTTTAAATCCATACTTGGATGGACAAAGTCCTGAAAGTCTTCTGGAGGCAAAATAAGTGAAGCAAAAGATACGGGTAGTAGTGATTTTGCTTTCCATTCTGCTTTAGTTGTTCTAGAAAAATAAATTCACTAAACATGTGTAAAAAATTGCCAAAAACGGGCATTTTTGAGTTTTTTCCATACATATAGTCATGGAAAATGAGGATTTTATTAAAACTGCTGTTATTTACTAGCTAAAAGTCGTAGAATAAGAAAATATAGGCTATGGTACCCTTAAAAGGACAGTAATGGATATAATGAATGTTTCAACCATCAAGAAAAATTGCTCAAAAATAAGGGTCCAAAAAATTAATTTTCCCACAAAACCTAGATATCTAAGCCTTTAAAGGTGTACATATTCTGAATCTACATAAAATATCCTATAAATGTTGAAATCTTCATGATTTGAAGACTATGTTTACTATTTACCTAAGACCATTGAAATTGTGTGAAAAATAGTCATGAAAATTGGCGATTTTGTTAAAACCGCTTTAATATTAAAATAGAAATTAAGGTAACAATAATTGTACTTACCTTTTTATTTGAAAAAGTTGGTCATTAATAGGCATAACTAAGACACCTCCAACTTTAATCAAACTCTTCATGTAATCTTTGTATTGTTCCGGACACCCTGCACCACAATAAATCCTATCATACAGTGCAGTACACTCACTAGTAAGACTCAAACAATTCCCTAAATAAATAAAAAACAGGAACTACATACCAAGTATTTAAATCTTGATATTTTATATTTACCTTGCCTGAATTTAGGTTCGCAAAAATCATACTCATCTAAAGCACCCGAATACCTCTTAAAATCCTCCAGTTTTCTGTTGGCATACAGAATGACATCTTCATGAAGCTCGATCCCGTGATTTACACCATTTGTTCCCAGGATTAATCCCACCATAGTGCTAAGATAACCTGTTCCAGAGCCTAGGTTCAGAAACGACAGTCCTGGAGCTAGACAGAGTCCTTCCATGACCTCTGAGTAGATGCAGGGAGCTGACAGGTGTAGATTTCCACTTTTCCATGCCAAATCCTTGTAAGCATTTCCTCTGAACTCTGGTAGAAAGTATTCGGCTCTATCTACTGCCCTGAATACTCGTTCTATTTGTGCTGATTTAATATAATCTGCTTCAAGTAGATTATCAATAAGATCGTCATTATTGCGTCCCGAACTCACAGCTCCCCCCATTTTACACCGGCTTTGCTCTAATTAACGAATAAATCGGCGTAAGTACATTTAAATATGGTTGTTTATTGATAACTGCGCCACTTGACAAAAATATTTCTAATTGACATCGTCTTACCTTAATGGATGTATAGAAAATCGTACAGATTTTTTGGACATATAACAGTCAACAAAAAGTATCTAAATACTCGTTGGTAACATCACTGTATCACTTTAGTTAATATTAGGATATTTATATAATCGCATCTATCGTTCTATGCACGATATTTTTATTTATTGAGATAGGTAATCAAAAAAAACGTCAAAGTCAAATCTGCTCAAAACAACCAATTTCCAGCTGTTTTTATAAAACGATGTTGCCATTTTCGATATCGATAGTTATAAATGAACTAATTTCAACACTTTAACTTAAAAGCATATTTATATACATTTTGCCTATATTTATTTACGTTTGAATATTTTCCAAATATTGTTGATTATTTCTCTGAACAGAAAACCAAGGATTGTTATTCTTTACCTTATTAGGTAAGGACGACTAGCTTGGCAACACTGACGAAAAAAAAATAAGCGCGTGCGTTTTGCATTTATTCCGCCTGCCATCTTAGATTTATTATCTCTGAAATGTAGAATACTTTCTCCTTGAATTTAATTTTCTATACAAAGCGTACGAATTCATTTTACATCAATATTTATTAATTCGGTATCTTAAAGGATGTTATAATATTGATTTTGTTATTTTAAAATGCTCAACAACGCCATCTTATTATTAACGGTTCCGTATCCGACATTCTCCGTCGGTAATTTGAAATTTACCACAACGGTTTTATAGTAATTCTCACCCTTAAAAAAATTACTGGTCCTTATTATCGGTGTATTTTTGTGTAAGGGTATTAAATAATTGTATATTTTTAAATAATATCTGAAATAAATTTAGTGCGGCGGGAAAATTATACAGTTCTCCGCACTTCCCCCGCTTACCCTGGGTTTCCACTGCGCACGCGCCGTACAAATTATTGGAGGAATTATTCTTGGGTATTTGGGAATAGTTTTATTTTTCGGAAAATTCAGTTTTTCATGGATAGTGACCTTCCGGATAGGAATAACTGGTAAGTGTATGTTTAGAAATTTCTCATTATCGAGCTCAAATTAAAGTTTCTATAGAGATATTACCAAACTTAGTCATTTCATAAAAGTTTATACTCATAACAGTTTTACAACACAGACTTGCAAATTTATAGTTTTTCTTGCTGGCGTTCTTTATATCAGGCGTCTAATTAGTTCTTGGAGTTATTTTTGATATGCAGTAAGCGCTCTTTGTATAATAGTTGTCCTAAATTTTAATTTATAAGAAAATGTAAATATCAGATAATTTCATGTTACCCTGATAATAAAATTCTATTGTTTAGAGATAATTATCATATAACTAAACATTTTCTAGATACAATAATGGCTTCAAACTCTTCCGTGGACCGACTGGATTCTGTAGAATCGGAAATCGATTTACCTGCGGAAATTGATCCCAGCAAAACAAAACTTGTGATCGAAAACCATTCTGATGACATAACAATTTCAAAGTGTGAGGACAATCAAGGAGGTCAGGAAATGAGCTCCAGCTCTACTAAAAACGCTGTGCCCGCCCTCAAAGCACAAGTTTTACCTTTGGTTTATTTTCAAAATAATAATAAGGCCTCTTTTATGAGTAACAAAAGCAATAATAACAATTTCATTCTGGGTCCTATCACAACAAATTACACAAACAAGCCTAACTCTACTAAAAATGTTATTTTGACTTCTGGTCGTGGTCCTGTGGTTCTACCTAAACCGATGGCAATAGTACCAGCAGGGGGTAAGGGTGGTTCCGCCTATGTTACTATGTTAAAGCAAGTACCAAAACCTGTAGATTTTTCGGTAGATGCGACTAAGATAACTGAAGTTAAGATGATCGGACAGACTAATGGGTTTATACAGGGTGGAACGTCGTCTCAGAAAATTTTACTGGCTCCTATGCCCAAGGTTCAGTCGAATAGACCTCCTGTTACAGCTACAACTAATTCAGTACAGTCAAAATTCACCGTATTACCGATGCCGGTACCACCTACCGACCCTGGAAGCTCAGGAATTCCAAAAATTTATAATTTTCAAATTTCCGATGGCAAATTACAGTATTCGAATTTCAGGAATCCCATAAGTATTTTGCAGAGTAAAAATGAGATTCCCGAAAAACCGGCGGTTTCCGCTGAGAAACTCGATGTTGTAGTCGAAAAAAATGATATAAGTAACAAGACTTACGAACTGTCAATCGCTGAGGAGTCCTCGAGTAACCAGAGTGATAGCAGACTTGTAGTTTCTTCAGTTGATAGCAATTCGTCCAGTGACAACAATGCGAATTCAAAACAGACAGCAACTTTCACTCCGGGAGTCTCGATTTTGAAGAAAAACTTCCCTTCCGCCTTGTTTGAACTGGACAAACCTGAGTTCAACACTTCCCAAAATAGTTCTAATCAAACTGTGACCAGTATGAACAGTCAAATTGAGGAAAAAACTGTTGTTACAAGTGTACCAAAAACTTCAAAACCGGAAAAGAATCGAAGGAAGTCTGCTTTTAGTTTTAGAAAGGATTTTGATGATATGGAGATCAGTTTTTTCGATTCGAAAACCGAAAAAACCAGTAAACTTCCTGAGGTAACCGAAGTGAAGGTCGAGAAAGAAGTTAAAAATGAGGAACAGCCCAAACCTGAGGTAGTTCCGGACCCGAAGAATATTTTTAACTTCAGTGAGAGTGATATAAACGCAGCTAAACTCCTGAAATGGGAAGATGGCATTGGAACTCTTCCAGGAAGTGATTTAAAGTTTATTGTGAATGAGTTTGGTATGATCGAGTACCTCCTGGAAGAGGACTACCAGAAAATGATTGAGAAAAAACAGCAAGAAACCAAGATCAAGGAAGATATGGAGAAAGAAGTACGATGTTTGGAGTGTGGATGTTACGGTATCAGATCTGATTTTATTTCTTCGAATTTCTGCAGTAACGAGTGTCAGATTGCTTGTCTGAACATCATTAAAAAACCACCCGACGCATCCTCTTCTTCGGTACTTAAAAGTAATAATAAACCTCAAAAAAGAAAGTTTGGTAAAAATAAATCAGATAATGACATAAAAGACGCAGACAGTGGTGACGAAGAAAACTCAAACCACTCAAACCAAGACAAATTCGTGTATCCATGGGCATGTAAAAAGAAGGGTTTTTCATGGTCAAAGTACCTAACCCATGTCAGCGCTAAAGCAGCCCCGACTAAACTTTTCAAAGACCCGTTTCCATATAACAGAAATGGGTTCAAAATGGGTATGAAGCTTGAAGGAGTCGATCCACAGCATCCAGGCTATTTTTGTGTTCTGTCTGTGATGGATACAGTAGGGTACAGGATTAGGTTGCATTTCGATGGGTACTCGGATAATTATGACTTCTGGGTGAATGCGGATAGTATGGATATCTTCCCGATGGGATGGTGCGAGAAGTATGGGCATGTTTTGAGGCCTCCTCCTGGGTATACCGATGAGACGTTCAATTGGTTGCAGTATTTGAAGGATACGAAGAGTACCGCTGCTCCGAAGCATCTGTTTGCCAACAGAGCTGGACAGGTAAGGTTTTAGTTCTTTAAAAATTTATATTTATTTATTAAAAAAGTCCTATAAATTTAAAGTTTAAAAATATACAGGGCGCTGTAAAAGTGCGTCGGGCAACTGTAGCTCGTATAATATAAAACTTAGGAATTCTATTTAAGTGCATACCTAAGGTTGTATTTTAAGAAAATATTTTAACTTCTACAGGGTGGCTCGAATTTTTTTTTTCTAGATCAGAGTGATTTTTTTTTGAACACCCAGAATATTATTGAATTTTTGGCTTCCTTTCTGATCACTTTATATAATGCTAAAATATTATTAAATATGTTGATAGTTTCAGAGATATTAATAAAAAAATAAAAAATATATATTTTTCAGCCTTTTAAAAATAGGTACAAGAACTATATACTGGAATCAAAACTATACTACGTATTTACTATAGTTGGTCTGTACTTTTTTCGCTATAAATATCGTAATCTTAAATCATAGAGGGTGTTTAAAATTTCCCGTCAAACTTTCTAAAATATAAAATAATGTTTCTTAATTTTTTTAGATAGAACATCCTGTAGGTATATTATTTTTTTTTTTGTTGGACGAAGAATTAAAAAATGAAAATTTTTAGGAGGTATTAAAGTATTATAATTTTTTTAACGATTTTGCCAATATTTGCGGTATTATATAACATATGGCTCTTTCAACAGTAAATTTTTATCAAAGCCACCTAATGGTTTTTGTCTGGTATTTGGTGAAAAAGCCATATAGATATACCGCAAATATCTGCGAAACCGTTAAAAAAAATGAAATACTTTATAAATATTATGAATACTAAAAATGTTTATTTTTTGATGTTTCGTCTAACAAAAATATAATATACAAGTTGTTCTATACAGGAAAAAATAATAAATTAACATTATTTTTTATTTTATATTTTAGAATATTTGGCGTAGAATTTTGAACACTCTGTATAATTTTAGGCTACAGTATTTAAAGCAAAGTAAGTACAGACCAACTATAGCAAGTACCTAGTGTAGTTTCGATTTCAGGATATGTATTTTAATATATTTTTTAAAAAGGCAGAAAAACATATATTTTTTATTATTTATTTATTAATGTCTCTAAAACCTTCAAAACATATTTAATAATATCTTAGGATTATATAAAGTGATCAGAAAGGAAGCCAAGGTAGCAATAATATACAGCGTGTTCTATTTAAAAAAAAATCATCCCGATACCCTTACACTTTTGCATGAGTCACTCTGTAGATGTTAAAATATTTTCCTGAAATATATCCTGGTACATAGTTTAAACAAAATTCCTAAATTTTTTCTTATAAGAGCTACTTTTTTTGGATTTAATAAAAATTTGATATTTCAATAAATTATTCATCAAAAATCGGATTTTTCTGAATTTTAAAAACTATGCAAATAAGTAAATAGGAAGTGTGGATTTTTTTTTTTCTAAAAACAATCATCAGATTTTTTTTTACATTATATTCAAAACTAATGATTTCTTTCAGGCAATCTGTCCAAACGGTTTTAGAATAGGAATGAAGTTGGAAGCAGTGGACAAGAAGGACTCGGCATTGGTTTGCGTTGCCACAGTCAGAGACATGATGGATAACAGACTTTTAATTCATTTTGACGGTTGGGATGACATTTACGATTACTGGGCGGACCCTACGTCACCCTACATCCACCCTGTAGGCTGGTGCGATCAGTATGGACATAATTTAACTCCCCCTAGCGGTAAGTGATGGAAAAAATCG